GCGAATTTGAACTTGTGTTTTTGGTTAAAAATTATGTCGAAGCCGATAAAAAGTTCATCGAGGAAACTTCTTTCCATCATGATTGACAAGTTTACTGAAGTGAAAACTGAATTAAATAAAAATTTCATGGAGAAATTACAACGATTAGATAAAGTTGTATCTTTTTTAGGTTAGTTTTGTATTATAATTTTGATACTTTCGTTTTAATTTTCTGTAATTAACTAAACAGATATTTTTTATAAAATATTGCTCTATTTCAGATAACTGTGATGGTGATATTCAACCAATAATGGAGGAGATAAATGCAATAAAAACTTTAGAAAAACAAGAAATGCTGAATTCGGAAACGCAGTACTTACAAAAAATTTCTTCAATGACAGGTCTCTTTTCTTGTTTTGATTTAAGATAGATTGATAGTATTCCTATAATATTTACATAGGTTTTTTATGATGTATTGGTTTTTATTGTTGACATCCAATGATGTCATAAGAATGTTTTGTTTAACAAGGAAATTCACAGAATTCATGAAACTAATCAAACCATGTAATTGTTATACATGCTAAATATGCACATAAACTTAACTAAATTAAACATAAATTGCATTCATAGTTGAATAGGTATTTAAATTATTTTGATGTATGTGTCTATCATTATTTGCTTTTAAATACATTTAACATATCTTTGTTTCAAAGTGTTTAATCTTTTATAGATGTAAGTATAAGGACACTAAGAAGGATAAAAAATGAAGCATTAATTAATAAAGGAAAATGGGACACTCCTGGGAAAAAACGACCTCATCAACCAACAGTGTCTGCTTTAGATAATTTTGATTTAAGTGCAATTCGGAATAAAGTAAATGAATTTTACTGTGTGAAAAAAATTGTTCCAACATTAAGAAGCCTTCACAATGAATTAAAAGATGCAATAGGATTCAGTGGTAGCCGTGAGACTTTACGAAAAATTATGCTTAAGAATGGATTTTCTTTTAAAAGCAATGAAAATGAACGTTCTATGCTTATAGAAAAATACCAGATTTCTGCATGGAGGCACAAGTATTTGAGAGAAATAAATATAAAACGAAACGAAGGAAAGCAAATTGTGTACCTTGATGAAACTTATGTACATCAGAATTATAAAGTTAAAAAGTCTTGGCAAGGACCTTCAACAACTGGTGTCACTACAAAGATATCCTCTGGAAAACGGCATATTGTTGTGCATGCTGGATCTGAGGAAGGTTTTGTGCCTGGTGCATTATTAGTGTTCAGTAGTAAATCCAATTCTGCTGATTATCATGATGATATGAACTCATCGAACTTTATGAAATGGGTCAGAGAAAAATTAATACCAAATTTAAGTAAGCCCAGTGTAATTGTTATGGATAATGCCAGCTACCATATAAAACAAATCAATAAACCGCCTATAATGTCTAATACCAAAGCAGATATCCGTAAATGGCTTGTAAATAATGGAATACATTTTGAGGAATATCAGACAAAGGCAGAGTTAATGTGTTTGGTTAATGATAAGAAAACATTGCCTGTATATGAAGCTGAAGAGATTTTAAAAGAACATAATCATGAACTTTTATTGCTGCCACCGTATCATTGTGACTTAAACCCAATAGAGATGGTTTGGAGTCAAGCAAAAAGAAAAATTGCAAGCAGAAACATTGGAATACCAGGAAAGGAAATGGAAAACTTAATAATAGAGTGTTTTAACTTAATTACCCCTAGTGACTGGAAGAAATACACTGATCATGTTTTAAATGTCGAAAATGATTACAAATTAAAAGATGGCATTGTTGAAAACGAACTTGAAAAATTTATTATATCTGTTGGTGCAGACAGTAGTGAAGAGAGTGACTCTGATGATTCCTTGTCATTGTTATCAGGTGTAGAATATTTAGAAACAGATTTTGACTATGAATCAGACTAAAGTATTTTTAGTCTGATTCATAGTCAAAATCTTATCTTAAATTTTCTATTGTGATTAACATGATGATTTTGTGACACCTGTATTATGTAATTTATCCATGGCACTTAATTGTAACAAAAATAAATGGTTTTTTTATTGTAATCTGGTGTTTATATTGACTAATTTAATTTGATAGATAGTGGTTCTGGATCAGAGCAAAAGGTTGTGATGAAAATCCCTTAGGAGACATGTATGTGTTATGAACACATTATAAATATAAGGGCCAGAAATCAAAATTGGCTAACATCACATTTATTAAAAAAATGTGGCCAGAGTCGCCCATATTCATTACAAAAAAACAAAGAAGTCGTTGCAAAAAACACCCTTTTAATTAATGACAAATATGAATTTTTAATATTATAAGTGCTGTTAGCCAATAGGTATAACGAATGGGTTAAAAAAAAGATTCGATTTAGTCCGTCAGTCAGATAATAGAAAAATATTGGATACGTATTTTTTTTCGCTTTAATTTAACAACAAATGGCTTAAGAGGTACTATGCGACGACTTCAAATATGCTTTGCAACAATGTTACTTTAATACAGTTTATCGATACGAAATCAAGTGTCAAAATGGAGTCCAGTGGAGAATGCCGATATTGACATTTCGAAATTGCTCATCATTGATAGAGAATACGAAATAGTGATTTTGACACAATCAAAGTGTCTATTTTTTACGGTGATGACGATTCTTGGTTGTCAGTTGAGTTAGTGAATAGGCCTACTGATATGCTGTTAACTGTACAATTAAGAACAGTCACGCTTTAGTCAAATGTTCCAAAACAAATAATTTTAATTGATATCTAAATGTTAAGATTAAATATAATTAATAAAAGTATCAAAATTATTTTGCAGTACTACATTCAGTGTTTACTGCTTAAGAATTTTTGAAATTGCCGCCCTTTTCTTGTGACACGTTTCGCTTGCCAGACTCTATACGCTTTTTTCGTAGGTATGGCCGGTCCTCTTCTTTTATGTCTATGCTATGTATGAAGAGCACCTACTCTTATACGCTGTTTCCGGTTTTCTGTTAGGTTTAAAAGTAAATTAGTTTTCAAAATTCAATAAACAACTCATATTCTATTTGTACTTTTTCGTATTTGTATTGATATCTAAGTTTAGAACCTTTCAAATTTCAGTTTTTTTGTGTGTTAGTTAAAAAGAACGGAAATGACTGTCTTTGGTCCATTCGTTTCCTGTAAAAATCGACTTTTGCTAGAGTCGCCATCTAGTGGAGGTACATTTTTAGTGCTTTCGTTTTTTTTTTAAATAATTCCTCATTACTTATGATAGAGAAGATGTCGAATAAAGAAACTTACTTAGTCATGAGTAAGAACTAGAAAAATATTTTTTATATCATGAATTAATATAGTAGATTTAGATATATATTTTTTTATTAACATAAGAAATTGCTGATCTCTCGCTCTTATTAGTATTAGTTTTAGCTTATATAATATTGATTTCTTATATTTTCATGCGCACTATCCATAAATGAAACCGATTCGACCTTTTGCTACATAACCTCCAAATCTTTACTTTATTTATTACTCAGTTTCCTAATCGCCAAAGTAATTTACATTTATGACGATGATTTATGGACATACTTAAAACAACGCTTGCATGGAGAGTGAACATTCTTCTTTATATGTAGGATTAGAAGTAAACAAAATAAATAAGTGTAGTGGGTGATTTTAAATAAATGTCAAAAACTCCTTATTACGATCTGGTTATAGATACTGACTAAAAAGATAATAACAAACTGTTTATTCGCGACTGCGTTTTTTTAATGGTCAGTATAACCCATCTATTACAGGATGTAACCGTACACACCAATAACGTAAGATTGGTTCATCATCAGTCCTTTTACGTCCCCACTGCCGGGACTCAGGCCTTCCTTATGAATAGGTAAGGAGGATGGGCCACACGCTGACCCGATGAGCATTGAACGGTATTAACGACTGCATATGCAGCCGGAACCAACGGCTTTACGTGCCTTCCGAAGCAAGAAGTAACTCGAGATAATAATTTTTTGGTCACCCATCCCGTGATAGTTGTTTAACAATAACGATCGAGGGCCGCGGCGCTTATCCTCTACACCACTGAGCTATATAATACCAAGACAAGATTATACCGCGATTCAGAGCGCAAAGGCGCCATCTATAATTATAAATGTAAATGAACACCAGCTTAAAAGATGTAGATTCTGCAGCCAGGGCGAAACAATTTCGAAAAGGAGAATCCAGCTTGGCTGGGCAGCATTTGTTAAGTATGTATAATTTTACACTATTTTTACATATAACATATTGGTACTAATGCAAAATAGACTATTTTTTTGTTTCTTCGATGATAGAAATAGGTAACATAATATTTAAAATTTAAGGAATAAGTTATAAGAAAAAAAAATTGAAAATCGGTCAACAATTCGTGGAAAAATCGAGGAACATAATATCAAAACATACGTTTTATAGAAATATTGTTTATAATACTATTCCAAATATGGTTGTTATTATGTGATAAGTAGGAGTGAAGTCACACAGAATTTTGATTTCTCACTATCAGCATTGAAAAAAATTAATCACCTTCATTAACCTGTAAGATTATTTCAGAAATAAAATTACTATTGTCGTCTTGTGTCATAGAATAAGTTGAATTATGAATTAAATAACAGTACAACCATTTAAGTAAAACTCGTTTTCGGAGAAGGTTGAGGTTTAACTCTGTTTTCTTTAAAAGTTTTTAAAGTAGGCTCGCATTGCTATCTACCTGTTCGGAGCCCGAAATGCCGTTTGACCGGTTCGCCTGCTCGCACACATAGGCGCATTATCTCTCGCAAATTCCCTCCCACTTGCCGGGTCACCTACCATACGTAGCGGTCTAAAAACGGTCAGATTTTTTGTCCTCGTGCATATAGTATGCTGTCACATCACAACAAAACGACGATTCACGTTGTCGACACAATAATGGAGTTCAGTGAATTTTCCTTGGTTTAAAAGTGAATCATTTTAAAATAACATTATATTTTGAACTTGTTGCTACTATGTGAGTGTATTGATTTAAAAGAAAACTTCATAAGTGACATTGTGATGTGGTTTATAAAGTCAGTATGAAACCAGCCTTATCGAACACTATGGAATCGTTACCGAAACAGTTTGTTTCAGCTATGCGTACACTTTTTGATATTATGGATGACAAACACACCGGGTATGTAAAGCTGAATGACATAGAAAATCGTTGGCGTGATGATCGTACAAAAGGTCTCCCACGAGGAGTTATCGAAAGTCTTCAAAAAGTCGCTTCACATGACGGGCTACTAACTTTTGATCGTTTTTGTACTGGCCTTAAAATTTGTCTCCTACGTAATCAAGTTGAAAGTACATCAAATAATGCAGAAAGTATCAATAGTGCTGTAGATAAGCCTGGAGTTCAAATGCAATTAATGAATCAAATTAATCGTCCGCCGTCAGCCCCTTTACTAGATAATAACGGTCAACAAAACTTAGAAACTTGGAATGTCATGAAAACATCTGAAAGTTCATCACAACACAGAACTATCAGTATGCCTCAGTTAATATCAAGAAAAGACCACCAAATTCCAGACCGACATCGCTCCACATCAACAGCAGTTTCGAATCAAGACCCGCTTAAAACTAATGCTCCTCCTAAACCACCAAGATTAGAAAAAAACGCAATTAGTGAACGCAAAGAAATATCGAGATCGACTTATAAAACAGACGATGAACCATCTTTCGATACCGACGAAATGAATGTTACAAAAATGGATTTCGAAGACATGTCCAGGATTGTAGAAGAGCAAAGTAGAGAATTAGGGGATGGCCGATCTTCAAATGAAACACAATCTCATTTGAGGCGTACATCCCGCCGCCGAGAACCTCGCAGACACACATTGCATAATGGAGTTGATTATAATTTGCTTAAGCGAATGAAACAAATTGAACAAGAAAAAGACGTACTGTTACAAGGTCTAACAGCCGTCGAAGAAGCACGGGAATGGTATCTGAAACAATTATCTGAGGTACAAGAAAAGATGCGTTATGCAGGACGCATGGGCGCGTATGTGGTAATTTTAGTTTCTTTCTAAAGTAATATATTCTTATATGATAATTCTTTTATGAACAGTACCGTTGTGATTATCATAAAGATGATGACTAGTGAAATGGTTGTTGTGTGACTATCTTAAATTGTCAAGTGTCTAGATAGTAGTTTGTGCTTAAGAATAATTACTAAAGCGCTAAAGTTATTTTTTTAAGGTTTGGTCTGTGGGTTGAAATGTCAGTCAATTCCCTTTTGAAATATTTATATACTAACCGTTACCTTCGGGCTCACCTGCATAGACAAAGGAAAACAACAAAGATTTTTCCGCGGTAAAAATAGCTTATATCACATTCCAGCGTCCATACACTAATTACTTAGTAATAACCAATTATGGTTGGGTATTTTATTTAGTGAGGCAATGAGTTTACATATCATAAAAATCAAAATGAATAAATAGTTCATATCAGCGAGATGGAGCGAGATGCTGTGCCCGCGACTTCGGCCGAGCGGAATAGTGATTTTCGGCAGCATCTTTAAATTTTAGGGTTCCGTACCCAAAAGGTAAAAAAACAACTATATTACTAAGCCTTGGCTGTCTATTTGTCTGTCAGCGAGCTGAATGGCATAAATAGTGAAAAATAGACAGTTGCATTTTTCACAAATGATGTACTTCTGTTGCCGTTGCTCTTCAATAACAATAGAATAAAATAAATATTTAGGGGTCTCCCATACAACAAACGTGATTTATTTGTTCATTTTCGCTACTGAACCTTTCTTGGCTGGCTTTTTAGGCTAATTATTTTGCAAATAAAACACATGTATTCATTAAAAGGTCCTATGTTCGACGGAGATGTATGTTCACCGATTTTTTCGCCAATTGTTGACTGATTTTCAAAATTCGGCTGCTTGATGGGCCGAGGTAATCCCATTTTAATTTCATCGAAATCTAATCAGTAAATTCCTTTTTAAAACAAAACAAAATACACTATTCACCAAATATCACCTTTAAATTTAGATGATGATAAAAAACAAAATTATGCGTATTTTGTTTTTTTCCAAATCCAAAAGGAGGATTTTCTATGTTCAACGAGTATGTATACTTTTCTTTTTGATGTATATTTTATTATGAAGGTCATAGATACAGAGTAGGTAGATATCAAATATTTTTAAGTGTTGAGATTTTTAACTACTAATCTTATGGTGTTAATGTTTTAATTTTTGATATATTGCTTTTTAACTATATGAATGACTTATTCAACATGTCTATTAAGCTAATTAAATAACAAATTGTAACGTATTTCAGTTATCACTCTCGTTGCCTTTCTTTTTCTTTTTAAATTTTTAAACATTAATACAAGTTATTGTAGAAACTTTGTTGGCCATTGTAGATTTTTTTTGTAACAAACTATTGGTAAGATTATGTGCTGATGTTTCTCATAGTGGTATATAGATACATATATCTACAAACGGGATATAGATGTCCCCCGAGCATTTTGTAGCTTCTCGTAGATGAAACTTTTATAAATCGGTCCAATAATTTCGGGCCTGCCCAATGCAAACAAACAAACACTCAAATCTTTTGTCTATAAAATATATATATAGATATACATATTTATATTTTGGAACTACTTAAATCCAATATGGAAGATATGATAAGATTATTGGAAAAAAATATGTCGAGCAAATAAACAAAATCTTCTTTTCTAAGACTCACTATGTTAAAGATTTCTATTTATATAGATACTAGCTTTTGCCCGCGACTTCGTCTGCGTGGTAAAGTTACTTAAAGCAGCATTACTAACGAATTTATTCATAATATCGTCTAAAATACCTGAAATAAAGTTCCATCCCCTATTTTATCCCCTTAGGGGTGGCTTTTATCAAAATCCTTTCTTAGGGGATGCCTACGTCATAGTAGCTTTATGCATGCAAAGTCTCATCCCGATCGGATTAAAATTGACAAAGTTTCATACAAACTTTCATCCCCTATTTTATCCTCTTGAGGGTTGAATTGATCAAAATCCTTTCTTAGCGGATGCCTACGTCCTAACATCTACCTGCATGCTAAATTTGAGCACGATCCGTCCAATGGTTTGGGCTGTGCGTTGATAGATCACTAAAATAAAATAAATAATAAAAAAAAATAAATAGAACCGACTTCAAATTTTAAAAAGCTATATATAATACTTGTCTCAAAAGCGACTTATTCAAAAAATGCTATTGCAATCGGGCGCATATCGTTTAATTATTAAACCTACAGAAGACGTAAGTCGCCACAACATTCGCTGGTTAATTTTTTTAAACTTAAAAGGCCATTAAGACCTTTATAAAAAATTTTATATCTAGGAACCATGGAGTGAAGCGCATCAGGAACGGCTAGAACTACTGCGAGCGCGTGTGTTGGAACTAAATCGTCAATTGGGCGCCCTTGCAGCAGGGTGGCGGCACGGGCAGTTGTCACTACATATGAACCTTGCATTGCCAACCACGACCTTTGTTGTCAACCCCGCTCCTAATTCGGCTGTTCTCAAATCGCAAAACCGAATGCTTGCAGAAGTAGGTATAGTATACATATTACTCGTACGAATTAACACGACACGAACGAAAATTGATGTGAAGATTTTATCAGTGCATCAAAGGCATTGCTAGGTCCTACCAATGTTACATCATAAATTAGCTAAGAATGAGTTTCTTTGTAGTCGTATTAACATTTTAAAAACAGTAGAAATTTAGTTTTCGGAAAAAACTTAATGGGCCTTCAAGTGTTATGTTAATTCGTACGAGTACCTAGAATTTTATGAAGTTTCTTGATATTAACAATAAATACTGTTATCTACCTATACCTATCTATGTATAGATGGATATCCTATTTTTATTAAATGTTAGTTAGTGTGCAATTCTTGGATATGTTAATTAATTAGTTAGTGTATAATGCAACATTACGGTGTCAGTAAGCTGATATGATGTTAAATTCGGAAGGTCATAGGTCATAGGAACTTGGTGATGAAATGACGCAACCCCATCGTGGTTGGGCTCGTTAGATCCGTCTTTATGAGAACAACAACAAAGGTATATAAAATTAACAGGAAAATGATCTTGTAATAGAGATGCCATGTCAGAAATAAATAGAACGAGACAAAACTAAAAATATAATAAAAATCCTTTTATTTCTGTGCACTAAAACGTAAATAATAATTTTATGCAAAACAAACAAGTTCATAATAGTAATGTATTTAAAAACATAAAAAATGTTTTCTTACAGTAATTGAATTAAAAAGCTTGAAGCGCTAATAAAATACACAGAGACGAGGAAATGCACATATTTTTTATGCTTTAGGAACCGTAAGATTGAAGGTTGGGTCCCTACTGTGGTGATGGAGACAACTGGCCAGGGAGACTAAAGGATAATTGTCTTCCTCCGAGCTAGGTGTTGTTAGCCCGGGGACCGCGGTCCAACCGATGTAGGTTGGACGTTCTATTTATGTTAATTGGTAATGAAACTTATTCTGTGCGATGTAGGTTTCTTTGTTCTAAATGTCTTGTAGTTATTAATTTATATGCTGCTTGTATAAGTACAGCGCCATCTCGTTACTTGCTATTGAAACTTATTGCATTTCGTCTTGCTATCGATGGCTGTGACGATGCTAGTCTTCTCGCTATCGATTGTTGTGGCGATGTTAGTGCGATGAGTTAGTTGTCGCTATGTATCAGTCGCCACAGTACTTTCCCCCTAGACCGAAGGTCGATCCATGTTGATAGTAGGTGGTATGCAGTCAGTGCTTCAGAGCTTGCAAGTGCCATGGTTGTGACGTCGGGACCGAAGCTGCTGGTGTGCAGGGCTGCCACGCCGGTGAGTTGTGTGTGAACTGAGGTCCGGTCGTGGGCTGCGAGGACCAGGTCGGGATGATGCCGTCGAGTGGTGCCAAGAATCCAGGAAGCGCCGTTGATGCTGCTGTGATGGATCTTGGTGTTGGCTGGCTTGCTGCTGAAGTGGCTGTGCTGATGAGGGATGAGAAGCTGATGATGAAGGGTGAGAGGCTGTTGATGAAGAGTGATGGCTGCTGCGTTGTGATGCTGAAGGTTGCTGATGTTCTGCTGGGGTCACCACTTTAGGACCGTAAGGTTGGAGGTTGGGATCCTTATTGTGGTGATGGAGACAACTGGTCAGGGAGACTAAAGGATAATTGTCTCCCTCCGAGCTAGGTGTTGTTAGCCCGGGGACCGCGGTCCGACCGATGTAGGTTGGACGTTCTATTTATGTTAATTGGTAATGAAACTTATTCTGTGCGATGTAGGTTTCTTTGTTCTAAATGTCTTGTAGTTATTAATTTATGCTGTTTGTATTGGTGCAGCGCCATCTCGTTACTTGCTATTGAAACTTATTGCATTTCGTCTTGCTATCGATGGCTGTGACGATGCTAGTCTTCTCGCTATCGATTGTTGTGGCGATGTTAGTGCGATGAGTTAGTTGTCGCTATGTATCAGTCGCCACAATGCCATTTCCCCCAGTTTTCCAACTTTTCGCAATCCGGGCTACTTGTATAATCAATGAGATTATATTTGACTGGTTTGGTTTTTATAGCTATGTAGGGTAGGTTCCTTGATCTTTAAAGCCATCTCACGCAAGGGAGACGAATCACTATATGTATAGCAGACAAGGGGTAAAAACACATTCAATTGCAATACTAGTTTGTAGTAAAATCATTTTGAACGATCAATAGGCAGACTGATACCAAGTCGCCGTGACATGATATCAACAGCAGGTTGTCTGTTTTTTTTTTACTATTCCTATTTATTGTTGATAAAACAAATTGAAGTGATATTTAAAAGTGACCAAATAAGAGTTAAGTGTGTTTCAATCTTTCAGTAAAAATATTCAATAATAAAAATAAAATAAATGTTGTTATATTTGATCAATTTTGCATCCTATACTGAAAAATGTTCTAAATGAAAAACGCTTAAAAATCCCCTTTGTCCCTGGCACTCTGAGATTTCATTTATTTAAAAGATCTTATTTGTAAAAACATTTCTTTCGGCTGTTTGGGTGGATTGCATAAAAATACGCTCTGTAGAAGCAAATAAGAAACAAGTGCCTGAAAAATTGGTCCTGGGTAGCTCAGTGGTTAGAGTAGTCGCCCGGATTGCAAAAGGTCATGGGTTCGAGTCCCATCTCAGTGTCAGGGACAAAGTGGATTTTTTAAGCATTTTTCATAAATATTGCGTCTAATAACCAGTAAGTTGGCTGTGCGGTGTGCCGTCCTTTAGATCGCTCTGTTCAGCTCATCTGATCATAGTTTAAATGTGCAATGAAAAGTTCAAATGAACAGTTATTTATCGAATTATAGTTAGGTATTTTAAAAATTGCAACTTTTTTTTTAATACTATGATCTTATCAATGTGCAACCGCTCAACTCTAGCCATATGATGCGACGTTCTGGCGAATATTATAACGATATTTGGTTTCATTTAACTACTTCAACAGGAAACGCCAATGCCTTTGGTGGATAAATTTAATTTAATACACATATGAAACACTGCTGTCAAATCCATATTTATCATTTGTTCATCATTATTAAAGTACATGTCGAAGTAGTATAATATAAGAGAATACCGCTATAACATAGCTAATGTCTTATCCTAGGGCTAGAATTATAGCTATAGAAGTTAGGTGGTCCCTCTGCTGATCACTATCAAAACTAATCACTAATTTTGTTACAGGAAGTAAATCGGAAAAATGAACGCATATCAGTTTTAGAAAGAGAAAAATCCGCACTTATACGAGAACTACTTCTTCAAAGAAACAGATCAAAATTAATAGAAAGCTTCTCATAATAGTAAGGCATAACAAAAAAATAATATAAATTCAAGCAAGGGTAAAATGAAACGCTTTATTAATAATAAAATTGCGCCGAAAATCCATGGATAATTATGGAATTGAATATGATGATCTTCTATTCCATGGATTATCATGGAATGGAATATCATAATATTCCATAAATATACACAATTAGTAATCTCTGGTTCATACAGTGCATATACATCAGGTATAACTACCAGGATTTATGTTAGCTCCCATGCAGCATCCTTTTTTTTCATGTCATAAATCATCATATTTTTATTTGTCAAAATCCAGTATTTTGCTCCTACTATAGACTCTTGATTTATGTAGTCTAGTGAATGCTCAATTTGTTTTTAATTTTGAAACCCTTGTTCATAATTTTAAATACACCAATACCTTTCTTGAAGAAAAATTATATTTTCATACACAAATTAAATTCAGACAGATGAGATTTTAAAAATAAGTTTTACACATTTACGTTGTTGGTGTTTTATATTTTATTGTGTGAATTTTATTACTGAGTTTTTATTTGTATAAATTTAGATAAAATATAAATATGATTTAAATTTGAATAGCATTTATTTTATATGTGGGAAGAATTTTTAGAGGAATAAGTGCCATATTCCATTCTTTGTATAATTCATAAATCAATGAGGGTGGAAAATTAATGTACTTATAATAATTACTAAACATTTGAAATGTATATTTTTGAACTAAATAAAGGTTTTAATAAAATGTAATAAAACTATTGTGGTATGTTATTTTTAACATACAAAGAATAATCATATTCCCTGAAAGGTACATCATATGTCAAATAGCCTTGATCCCATGCTCGTTCAATAGCCACTAGCAGTTCTTTGTGTTTCTTTTGACATAATCCAGTCTTGTAGGGATCTAGTATCTGAAACAAAACAAGTAAGTATAAAAATTAAAGATAATTACAGAAATCAGTTACATTATGCACTCTTCAAATACACACAAAATCTTGTGTTATTCTCATGGATAAAATAATCTCACAAAAGGAAGCTTATGAATTGTGTATTGTGTGTGAATAGAGACATTGAAGATATTTGATAAAATATTATAGACTTTAGATTTAGTATAACTTTGATGTTTTCTTAGTGTGATGTGATATTAATTACAGAAATAGAAAAACAACAATTATTTTTCTTCTTTAGTTCATAACGCACCCCCAGTGGGACACTGTCAAATATGTAATAATTGTCCTTAAGCACCCCTTTACTTGGTGCGATAATGTTACTTTTGTAGTACGCATAGTTTCCGTATGATTCATCTCATCTATATCTTCTAAAGTCATTGTTTTGTGAGGTGTCAGAGTTTAACCCTTAAATGCATGATTTTTCCTTTTTAAGTACAATAAATTGAAACAGGTAGATATTTAAACATAGATTAAGGGAAAAATAAAGAAAAAAATTTTTTTTTCTGAAATGTATATTTTTTTTAAACAAAATTTACTGATGTAGATTTACATCAGTATGCATTACAGTTACTATTAATAAAAGTTACTATTAAGAATAGTAGCCTAAGTACCTACTATTCTATTGTGCGATTGTCTTCGAATTAGGAATATTGCACTGAATGAAAAGCTTGGAAACAGTTATTTCTCTGATTTAGACACAACGGTACATTACATTTGGTACATGACCATTGTGTGGTGCCCTTACAATTGGGCATCTTGCACCGTAATCGATTGGCAAATACAGGCCAATGTTCGAAACCATCTACGCGCACATCTTTTGACGGGAGCGGATGTTGCGGACCTTTTTGCTTTTTTATTTGAAGCTCGCGTTCTAGAGAGGAAGTAGTAGGTCGCCCTCTTTTACTACCACTAGACATACCTATATTACACAGTGTGTCAGCCAAAGAATTACGAAACTCCCCAAGATTAGGCAGTTGCTTTTTTGATACACCTTTAGCAATCAGATTTTTTTTCATAAGCACCCATGAGTTGATCGTAGTGAGGTCCAGTAGGTGATAAAACAACCGTAGATACCATTTCCGGCTCTTTATTCGAATCCGATAGCGTCCTAAAAAGCTATCCATCAGATCGACTCCGCCCATATGCATATTGTACTCTTGCACAATTTTGGGACAAGGTATGTCAATTTTCTGTTTGGCCTTCTTATCGTATCTTGATACTTTTCCAACAGGCTCGGCGCCAACGTAAGTCGATAATAGAGTGACGACTTTATTATCTTTCCACGCAGTGGCTGAAAAGTCTACTCCATCTGAATGAGCAACACGTTCCTCATATGTGCCTCTCGGGATAGAAGTTTTCATAAGTTCCTTTTTGTCAGGGAGTCGACAATTCGGTAGCCTGTTTTGCTGAATAGTTCCGACACATTGTATACCCTGTTTATTCAAATAATTTACCAAAGGCAGGGATGTGTAAAAATTATCGAAGAATACAATATGATTGTTCATCCTTGGTATAGCTCTCGCCAAACGTATAACGACGTTATTTGTTATTCCGAGATCAGGCTCATCGGCTGGTTTGTCTTTTTTTTCTTCTTGCCCAGAATAGACCTCAAATCTGTAAGCATATCCCATAAGATTACAGAGAACATAAAGCTTATAACCCCACTTGTGAGGCTTATTGGGTAAATATTGCTTTAGAAAATGTGCAATTTTCGTTGAACACATCTGTTCATCTATCGAAAGTCGTTGGTCAATTCCAATTGATGAAAATGTCGTATTTAGCTGTTCTATCACAGGCCGAATCTTATGGAGGCGATCGTGATCAGAATGGTCTCGCGGAAGATGTTTACTATTATCATTGAAATGCAAGTAGCTCCTAATCATCTCAAATCGATTTACCGGCATTGCGCTTTTTACAGGATCGTACCCAAACTTGGAATGCCAATATGATCGTACACTAGGGAAATGCTCCACTGACATAAATAAAAGAATTCCTATACATTTTTGTAGCTCCCCAACACTAATGGTGAAAGATGTTGAAGGGTTTTTTTGTACTGCGTATAGGTTGCTTTCATCTACAATTTTTTGAAGAAATTCGGGTGTGAAGTAGTGCAAAAAACATTTATAAGGTGTATCAAGTTCAGTTATAGCAGAGTCTGTTGTACTTGGTTGGTGAATTATTTTCGATTCGTCAAACAGCAAACTGTCCTTTTTCCAAATGAGTTTCCTTTTATCAAACTCTACATAATGTTCATGACCTTCTTGCATGGGTAATGAAATAATAATTTCACTTGATGAGCCAGGCAGATCTTGAACCAGTGGTGGACCACTATATGTAAGATCTTCATGGTCCTCTGCATCCTCATCCTCCAACTCTCGAATTATTTCTCTTGCATTAGCAAAAAAAGGTTCTTCATCTTCACTTTCATCTTCCAAGCCATCCTCAGAAATATTTCCATCTTCTAAAGCCGCTAGAAGTTGTTCTATATCTCTATCTGCCAATTTACGGGCCATTCTGGAAAAAAAACAAGTAAATAAAATACGTATATATAACTAATAAGTCAAAAATAAATAAAAAAATATTATACCTTTAGTAAAACTATTTCTTGTCGATTTTGCATACTGATGTATTTCTACATCACAATTATACCGCAGATATTTACAAAAACTGTTATTATATTCTAAAAAAAAAACAACGAAATGTGTTCTGCTTACCTTTCTCCTCTCGTAAATAAATTTTTGCACGTAATAATACTGTTTAGTATCCACTAAAATGAAATTACAATGTAACCGCCAAAGTGTGTATCTGAAAGTTTCGCGCCAAACTATCAAATTTTGACAGTTAAAAAAGTGGACTGACATATTATTGTAAGTTGCGTTCAAAAACTAAGATAGATATATTTAGCATCTATTAAAAGTAAAAAATACTGTGTTTGAATTACCGTTTAGAAATTATGTAAAGAAGAAAATACTGATGTATACATACATCATCATGCATTTAAGGGTTAAAACTCTTCTCCTGAAAAACTAAATTTTTGCATAAGTGACAGTGTCGCACTGGGAGTGTAATAAGTTCTATCATTTTATTGAGTAGTGTATTGATATTACTATAATATTATTGTTTCCGGTAATTTATACAATATATTAAACATTTTTTTAAGGTATATTAAAATATAATAACAAGCACTTAAAAAAGGGCCACGGCCATTTATATTATAAATATATGTAAAAATGGCAAAGATACCTGTCCTGTGTATTCCGAAATAAACTGCTTCAAAAGTCCAGTGTTTCTGTGATCCAAAATCAAATACTCATCTCGACATATTGGGCAAGGATTGCCTGTTGATATAACTCCATTTCTGACACAGGATTTTCTAGTTTTTTTTGGTGCCAAACCACCTTTGTGGTTTCGACGGTACAAAACCCAAACAGGATTGTCTCCATAAGTTTGTTTGTATGCAGCACTCTGTATATATTTCATGCTCGTTTCAACTGGTATAATTTTCGTTCTATCTTTCGAGGGGTCAGTCTTTTGATCCTCTTCTGGATTTTCAACTTTTTCTGTATAAAATCGCATTAAGGGCCTAGAATCTTTTGAAGTTAATTTGTAAATCATAATTCGTATATTATTTCTAAGAGCCATTGAGATGTAATAAATAAACAATTACTTCTTAATTTGCGTCCGTAATTGATTAGAGGTTAAGTGCCGTTTTAAAGTAGGGATGTTCGATATTCATTGATGTCACAGACCAATAAGAGAACTAGTAGTGCATAGGGATGTTAAAAAATAATCGCTTTTAATTTTAATCGATTATTATTTTAATTTAATCGATTTTTTATAATCGATTTTCCATGTCATATGAATCGATTTTTAACAAATCGATTAAATAAATAGCGCGTTTAAATCGATTTTCATAAATAGCATCATCTATGCGCCAAATGAAAAACTCGAAGCATTATTACTTAAAAGTTGATTATATAAAAACGGCGCCATCTGTAGGTATGTTGATATTTATCGAAAACCAAACATTTATATTCATGACGATTTTTTTATTATTATTATATTTAATTTTTTGCGACAATAAGGTTGTCATTTTGTTGGGGTGCTCATTTTTATTATTATATAACGTTTAAAGATACTGAGAATTTCTATCAATAATGATATTTGGTTTTATTATTTTATAGTTATATTACCTTGAAAGTTTAAAAGAACATTTGCTTTGATTCTTAGTTTTGAATTGTCAATTTTTTTATTCATATTATTTTTTTTTTAATCTGATTAATTGTTAATATGAAACTTTTAGGTTTATTATTGGAATATGCAAAGCATGTAGGATTTTAAATAATAGAAAAAAAAGAATCGATTTTTTCGCAAAAATCGATTATTTATTTTCATTAAAATCGATTATTGACAAATCGATTTATAATTTATAAAAGAACATCGATTTTTATTAAATCGATTATTTTCTATTAATCTCCATCCCTAGTAGTGCAAATAATATACTTATGGCATTTGAACTGAATGACCGTTGCAGTTCAACCACAACACAGACAAAATAAGAATTAAATAAAAGGTTGGCCTAACTGCATAAGGGGTGAAGAAAGCATAGGGGGAGGAGAGCTAAATGTCAACTGTTATTCTAGCACTGTCATCGGAACGGTAACTTTTTTTCTATGAGACTTTACCGGGCGTGATTGATGTTTAATAAACTTCGATGTTTTAAGTTCGATAATATCGACACATCGATGTTTTCTAGCCAAACATCGATGTTTATGAATTAAATATCAATATGTCTTTAGGGTCACCTTACGTGCTCTGGATGTACTAGCTAGATGATCTCATATATCAACTTCAACTGTTTCCACTAAATATCACCGGTTGCACTCTTATCTGGAGTAGCCAAACAAATAGTTTTTTCTTTGCTTGCATTTTACAAAGAAGTTAAAAATAAATCTGTCGACTTCAGCGCTCTTTAGTACCCTATTAAAATTTTATTAAACAATTCATTATTTATAAGGGCCATAATCTGACTCGCGCTATAAAGATCGTTTTTTATAATCAACGATGTTGTAAACAAAAATCAATGTCTTGACATCGATGTTAACAAAATCAATCATCAATGTTTACTCACGGCCTCATGCAAGACCAATGCATTATTTAATATTTGATAATATTAATATCAATTTAAATTAATCGATATTCCTAAAAATATCGAAATTTTGATAAAAATAAAACTGAATTTTTCTGTATGTAATACGCTGATACGTGACGTGAACACCAAAAACTAGGGTTCGAAAGAAACTTTCGATACCGAGTAGGAATCGATACTTACTTAATCGGTGTCGTAGCGCGCTATGTGCGTATCTGTCGAGCAACAACAGTATGGCGGCAAGATTCTATGCCTGAATTTAATAAACCTATGGAAGTATTAGTCTGTTTTTATTTATTTTTTATTAATTTATTTCCTGGCCTCAATACAATGTATTTCTGAGCTCCTTCAATCATATACATTGTTAAAAAATATATAGAGCTTCATTCCAGCGTTGCTACTGCTGCGGCAATGAGGAAATATTTAAAAATAAAAAGGAAGCACCAAAAAAGCACCTCCACTAGATGGCGGCTCTAGTAAAACTTGATTTTTGCAGGAAACGAATGGACCAAAGATAGTCATTACCATTCCTTTTGAATAACTAATAAAAAAACTGAAATTTGCAAAGTTCGTAACTTGGATATCAATACAAATACGAAAAAGTACAAACAGAATATGAGTTGTTAATTGAGTTTTAAAAAACTAATTTACTTTTAGACGTAAAAGAAAAACGACATCTAGTATGATTTCGGGAACTAATGTTTTTTTTTAAATACTTCCTCATTGCAGTGTCTTATAAAATTGGACATAACTTAAAAGAAAACGGTCTTAGTGCTAGGCCAGAAAATAAAAAAGCAAATCAATCATATTTTATTTCTATTATATTCGATAATTTGATTATAGACAGTTCTCGGTTAAACTACTCATAGAAAAGTTCTAATCTCTGACTGAGAACTTGGGAGAAATTTTAAATTTAGTCCAACTTATTTTTTTTTTCATTATTATTTAATATTGTTCTCTAATAAAAAATACTAAATGATAGGAATAATAAACCATGTTTAATTTTGTTGTTCATGACCTTCAAAATACTCAATATTGAGTAGAATCACCACTTTGGAAGTGATACTTTTATGTTATTGATACTAAGTCATTCGATACCACATGAGTACTCGGTATCGGTTCCAGAATTCGATACTGGAACCTACCTAAGACAAAGAGCGTAGAAAAAAGAATGAGAAAAATAAAACGTATTTGGTTTGACACATGTCATTGGAGAGTACCGTAGACACTTCTCTGTTTCATCCTTCATGGTTTCATCATCACTGATGATGATTCATCAGCCCTTTTACGTCCCCACTGCAGGGGCTCAGGCCTTCCTTATGGATGGTTAAGTTCGAGAACAGACTCAACTATCGATTATAAGTTGAGATACCGATTTGTTTGTGTATCGTGTTCAGTTATTATTCCATTTTATTTTTATATAATAAAAATTACATTTGAATTTGGAAATATTTGTAATTAATTTATTATTTAATAGCAAAATATATTATTCGACATATTTTAATTCAATGTCAATAAATATATGTTAGATATTTATTTGTTTTCGTCTGTTCTAAATATTGTTTTGCCATATGATTTAATAGATAAATTTCTATGATAGCAAATATTGGAACAATTGTTGAAATATTTGTTTTTATAGATACTTCTGTGCTCAGGCAGCACATAACGTATTCTTTGCGTTCTATAACGTAGCCATCGCAATACGAGAACATATTAATGTCTAAATATTAATGCGAAAAACCATTATTATTTTATGGCATTACGATGACATGTAAGTAAATATTTTGTAACTTCAGAAAGGTAATAATGATCTTATATCCTTAATAGCGCATTACATTTTGTTTGATCCCGTATTTTATAGAATTGATATGTTTTCAGTTTTATTCATTTTGTCATAAGAAATAATATCTCTTTAATGGACAATGACTATCTATAAACAATAAAATAAAATAGGTAGTGAGTTAAAAATTTGTTGTCAATGCCAATTCTTCATCATTATTTGTAGGAGAATAATTATTTATGTATCGATTTTGATTGTAGTACTAAAACTAGTAAATAGGAAGTTTTTATCTTCTGTCTAGACAGTAGAAATACAGCCTGCGCTGTGCGCTGTAACTGGATTTGAATCTTATTTGATATCAACCGATTATGTTAATTTGCCATATGGGATCGAGTAAAGTAACGATAACTTTAAAATATGCGTAACCTCCCTACTCGGCGATGTAGTTGGCGAGTCGTTAGATAATTTCAATTTAAATATTTTTGATTTCTGTTTCAATTTCTTCTTTGCTTTTCTTGTGTTTCAAACACGATTACTTAATGAATATTTTAGAAGCGTATTAGGTATTTGTTCGCTATTCTTTTATACATAACGAAACTGAATTTGAATCTGCTTGGTATAATAAAAATGTCTGAAGAATCTGACGCCTGTCTCGTGTAAGTTGTATATTATTTTTTAAATTAATTATCAATAGGCAAGCTAGTTTTAATTAAAAAAACTCTTAATAATGCTATTGACATCGTAGATATTTTTTATGTTTATGAGAAAGATTTTTTTTAAGTATGGAGAATTAAATAGTCTTTAACATTGACCAAAGACTTATGTAGTTAGCTACATGAAGTATACATAGAAATCCTTGTTATCGATAAATTTCATGAAGTAGAAGGTCCTGGAAGACATTTCAGTCTGAATTAAAGTGCACCCTTTTACTGTTTTTGTGCTTGCCCCTTAATTTTATTGTATATTTTATATATAAGTATTGTATTCCTTCTATTGACAGCTTATTATTTCCAAAACACACTTAAATCTTGATTCTTCAATTCTTATATCTTGGGAATGAAAACATCCAGAGTACACATTCTGAGATTTGTCAGACTATTCCCTCTTTTTCAGATTTCAATGGTATAATGTTTCTGTCTTTTTACATTATGTTACGTCTTATAATAGGTCATATCAGCCAGTGCAGCTGCAAGTGTGTTGGTGTAGTATCTACTTTATAACATTTTGAGCATAGTTTTAGTTTCCTTTTTAACAGTGGGCATTTCCTGGATTTTAATGAACTAGGGAGCAGTAAGGATTGAGCTAAATATGCTATTTTTAAAGCACTGCTGTCTGTCCAAATATCTCATGTCATTGTTGTGTGGTAGTCATTCACAACCTAGACTAGACAGACTTACAGCTTTCAATCTTGAATGTAAAAGTGATGTCAACTGACTTTGAAGCACTAGCCTTTATTCTCTAATTCTACATCCAGATGTACATTTCATTTAAGTTTTTACAGCTAGATTAACTCTTTGTTTGGAACACTACTCGAAACTGCTGTATCAGTTGTAAATAATGTGTACAGTACCGGTCCCAGAATGGATTCTTGTGGAACCACTGCTCTGATATCATATAATTTAGATTGGCTTTCATTTACAGTTACTTGAAAAACTCCATCTTGTACATATGATTCAGGCTGTGTGAAGTGTGTGCAATAACTTCTTTATCTTAAACAGCAAGTCCTTGCTGCAGAACAATAATGTTTTCTTTATGTTGTTTGCCATATTTTATGACCACTCTATGCTCTATATTCTAT